TGTAAGCTTCATCCTTCTCTTCATCCTCTTTGATATGCCTTTTGTGATTTTCCAGACCCATTATACCCTAAACAAGTATGTGAGTTCTACTATTCATGCTCTGTTGATTCTAAGGTGTGACATCCCCATTTTTATGGCTAGAAAAGACCAATTTTGTTTATGATTTATGAAAATCAGAGTACCTCTTTTAATAAAAATGTTGCAGAATTTATTTCCCAGAAAAACACGATAAATACGTTATCAAAGCATTTCCGAAGAAACATATTTTATTCATTTTAAATCATTTGGGATGTGATCGTCAATACAGAAACATAAGCATAAACAGAACATACATTCATTTACACTAGTTATCTATATCTCCTTAATCTCTCAGTGTAATGTCACTTCATATCGACACCTGTGATATAAATAAACTGAGTGGGTCAGGTTGGGAAACCTGGTGAGTACATAGGGTTTCAACCTACAATAATATAATTATTATGTTTAAACAATCAAACAATCAACCCAATTACCCATCCCCATTATCTTCTTTACTTTTAAGGATTTACCCTAAGAATCAACTATTTCTCGTTCGTTCATTCCTAAGGGTCATCCTAAGGAATCGACACGAAGTCTATCGTTGCCATGGTTTACACAACAGGCACTACGTCTGCATAGTCTCCAAGGCTTAGACACTAAGTCTGCATAGTCGCCAGGGCTTAGACACTATGTCTGCATAGTCGCCAGGGTTTAGGCATTAAGTCTGCATGGTCGCCAGGGTTTAGGCATCAAGTCTGCATGATCACCATGGTTTACATAATGGACACTAAGTCAATTATTAGTTTCTTGTTAACCTTGGGACTTTCCCTGATTCAAGCATGAGTCTTGTGCTTCCGGTAGTACATGCATCTACTACCTTTCACACCGACGCATACTCGTCTCAAGTATTGTCTCGTAGTCCCGAAGTCCTAAAATCACAAAACAATTTAACACATACGAGTGTGTCCAAATAATCATAAAAATTTCCCTAGACTCTACTAGGACTTCTTCCATGCATATCTTTAATCATCATTTCTGCTTCAATTCAGTTGGTGTTGGACATTCCAAATGATAGGAAAACTTTAGGAATTACACCAATCGTTCTATCATCCCGCCAATCAAATGTGTACATTCAAATGTACCCTACTTCTATAGAGATATTTCTATTTTATCAGACGTATTCTAAAGGCAACATACCTCTCTTATTATATCTTCTGATAGGTATTATTCAGTATCGTAAGCTGCCTCTTTTCCTCTATTTTCTCAGTTTATCATGGTTCGCATCACTTCCTGAACTTCTGCCATTGTGATAGGTTCGGCTGCAGGCGCAACGACCGATGCATGACCCATCATATTCTTAGGATCAGGTTGTCATCTTCCTCTTGTTTTGTACACCCAAGTAGACGTTCGATGTACCGAGATGAGAATTTAAGATAGGAAGGATTTTATTTACGATAGACGTATAAATCTCCTTGTCACACCGAAACGTTATATGCTAGTTCTAATATCGTAATCATACGCTTAGAATCCTGAACGCATAAGGTTTTCAGATCCGGTCGGCAATAGACCACAGATCTGAACAAATAACATCATATAAGGCATCTTTATAGCTATAACATAAATCATTTAGCACAAAAAACATTTTAGGCATCTTTCCTAAAATAAACTAGTGCTAGTGTCTGAATTATAGTAGACACTCATCTCACAATCATCGCTTAGCATTCTAAGTTTAAGTCTACAAATAAATCCTTATTCCTAGTTTGCTTAAACTAATGCTTTGATACCAACTGTGACATCCCCATTTTCACGGCCAGAAAAGAGTGATTTTGTTTATGCTTTATGAAAATCAGAGTACATCTTTTAATAAAAATGTTGCGAAATTTATTCCCAGAAAAACACGATAAATACCTTATCAAAGCATTTCCGAAGAAACGTATTTATTCATTTTAAAACATTTGGGATGTCATCGTCAATACAAAAACATAAGCATAAACAGAACTTACATTCATTTACACAAGTGATCTATATATCCTTAATCTTTCAGTGTAATGTCCCTTCATATCGACACCTGTGATATAAATAAACTGAGTGGGTTAGGTTGGGAAACCTGGTGAGTACATAGTGTTTCAACCCACAATAATATAATTATTATGTTTAAACAATCAAACAATCAACACAATTACCCATCCCCATTATCTTCTTTAGTCTTAAGGATCTACCCTAAGAATCAACTATTCCACGTTCGTTCATTCCTAAGGATCATCCTAAGGAATCATCACGAAGTCCATCGTTGCCACGGTTTACACAACGGGAACTACGTTTGCATAGTCGCCAGGGCTTAGGCACTAAGTCTGCATAGTCGTCAGGGTTTAGGCACTAAGTCTGCATAGTCGCCAGGGTTTAGGCATCAAGTCTGCATGATCACTAAGGTTTACACAACGCGCACTAAATCTACATAGTCGCTAAGGATTAGGCATCAAGTCTGCATGATCGCCAAGGTTTAGGCACCAACTTTGCATGGTCGCCAAGGTTTAGAGTACACCGGGTGAACACATCGTTCACAACACCTACAGGTTGCGAGCCTGCTAGTGTTCCACTGGATTGTCTAGAATAGTCCGTGGTTGTCATCCATACTCTGCTAAATGACGGGGCCGTCGTTTGGGAAAAGGCTTCTCACATCGTCCACCTCTCACCCTCACGTCGTGGTCTATAACACCTCTCAACTCATCATCAAACTCATATTCCATCTATTACATCTACCCATGTTTTACCCCAACATTATCGTAGATATAAAATACATATACAGTTTAAACCATTTAAAACATGTATAAAATCGTTCATCCAGCATAGACAACAAGTATTCAGATAATATGCACTCATAGCACGTAATTTATATAAAATACTTCATATTTATGTGTAAGATGAAAGTAACTATGCAATCACCTAAGAAGGTGGTGACTCGGTACACGGCCATCGCTTCATTTACTTTAAAATAATTTCCTTCGACGAAACCTAGTATTATTACCACTAGATTTTAGTATAATATTTACCGTGACTAGTTATTATTATTATTATTATTATTATTATTATTATTATTATTATTATTATTATTATATAAGCGTTTAAACAATATTTTCCAACCACTATGTACAGATAGGGGCCAGACATAAAACACCGGAGGGTAGGACCATTTTGGCGTATAACACTTCTGAAATCCAACAACCCTATGTGGCCCTTTAAACCAGATTCCCCGTACCGCGAGTAGTTAAAAAGATATTATAACGACACTTATATAAGTCAAATATTTATTATAAGTTAATAATAACAATATTAATTTTAAATATAAGTTATATTAAAATCGGGTAAGCATAACTTACTTACAAGGGGATTTTAGCTAGGAGTTGGGCTCTACAAGGGCAGAACTTCATCACCGAATCTTTCTAAGAGAGATTCATGCAGTGCTTCAACGCTCACCTTACTATACTAAAAACTACAGAAAGAGAAATCGAATCACGAGGGATCGAAATGCTCGGGGGATAAGGGGAGAAAGACTTTTGAATCAAGAGAATAGTGCAAGAAATATGAGAGCCACGGCTCTTATTTATACTAATTGAATTTTCAAAAACTACCCTCCATAATTACTTGATGACCTTTTAGTTATATAAATAACTAAACACCCCTCTATAATATTATTTTAAATGGATTTAATGACATCTGTACTAAGCTAATGTCGAAAGAACTCAACATTAGTCTTATAATGACCGTATCGTCGATACCTTTCTAATGATATATACATATGTATATAAATATGTATATATATATATATATATATATATATATATATGTGTGTGTGTGTGTGTACGTATATATGATTTATACTTTATTTTAATACGTAAATATGCTATTATAATTTGTAACTCGTTCATACGAACTTCATTTTTGACGTTCTTTATATCCACGCGTAGGTTGAGATGTAGTCTACAACTTTTGTTTAGACTCCGTTGGCTAATTTTGAATTTACTTTTAAAGTTATATTTTTAACAGGCCGGGATAGGATTAGTCTGTTAAAATCTCATAACTTCTTTATCTGATGTCCATTTTCATCTGTCTTTTTATCGTTACGGTACTAATAATGAGATCCTCAATTCTCTTTCAGGTTGTGTTGGCTAAAAACCACTTGATCTAATACTCGAACTTCGTGTTGTACACCACTAAGCCAGAACTTCGAAAAATCATAACGTCCTCATACGAAGTCAGATTTGGGCGTTCTTTTTATGGACGTTCTCAGGTTAACATATTCTACAACTTTTATTTAGATTACTAAGTCTAAAAGTCATTCTATCATAAATTCACTATTTACATCTTTGCGGTTCTGTACCGGTTCCGTCACGAAACTTCGACGGCTCATAGCTTCTTCGTTATAACTCGGATTTTGGTGCTCTTTATATGTACGGAACCCTTGAGATGTATTCTACAACTTGGTTAAGATTATTTATTCTAAATAGTCTTTTGTCAAAAAGTCGTTTTTGACCCCTATTATCTCTAAATTGACTAGCTCGGATTTATGGGCGTAACATAATGCTCGAACCATTACTGTAACCATTGGAAATAGTTAATATAGGGTAACTATTGATGTGGAATCCTTTCGAACTGCTCTTCATCTTCCTCGATTTGAAAATTACTCTGAAACTCCCTCAGAAGAAAGTTGAAAGTCTATTCGTGAAAAAATAGTGTATAATTTCAAACTTAAAGGCCTCAATCATGATCCATATAAGAACACTCTTCGATGGTGTTTTAATGCATGATGTAAGTATTTAATAGGTGTAATTGGAAAATATCTTAGACACAAGACTGAGAGTTTGGATCAACTGAATCTTTTTGAGTCAAGGATATTATTTTCTATTGTTTACAACAAAAGACTAGATTTTTCTCAACTTTTTGTTGAGCAAGTGATTGACAACATCTCTGGGAATAAGAAACCAATGTACATTCCTTGTCAATGTTGTCCTGGACTGATCTTATCTCGTAAGGAAGGCTATGTTGAAAGTTATGGGATCATCCTTCGAATTCTTGCTCTTTCTTCCAAGATTATTTATGCCACTCCGTCTAAGGGTGATTTTTTTATTACTATGAGGTGCAAAGATAGATTGAGAAACCTATGTGGTTGAATCCGAAGATTCTGAAGAGGGTGATGAGGATGATTGTAAATAAGGCACTGATGAAGAAGTTGATGAAGAAAATGGTGAGGATGATTATGAAGAAGGCACTGGTAATAAAGAATGGGCTGATGACGAAGAAGAAATTGATAAAGATGAAGAAGAATCTGCCACTAAAAAGGGAGAAGACTTTGCTCAGGGAATGAACTCTCTTCCACTAATGAACAATCACATTCAATTTTCATCTACTTCTTCATGCACTCCCTCTATAGATATTAATGTACAATATAGTGCAACTCCTCTTTTTATGGAAATTACTAGACGAATTATCCAAGATGAGTCAGCATGTCCTTCTCCTTAAGCTGAGAATGTTCCTCTTATACCAACTCCTATCAAGACTTCTGCTTTTCGTCACGAAAATAAGGAAGAATCTAACTCCAACTTTCAAACTGTTATGCTTTCTCAACTCTCTCTAATTGCACAGTTAAATTAATCAAAGGATAAAAGGTTCAATAGAGTTGAAATGGATGTGGTTGCGATGAAGCGACTTATGGCCCTGGGTGATGATGATGCTAATGATATGGTTGTCGATAACACCCCACCAAACTCTCCATGTGATAACCGTCCTCTACTTCAACCTCCATCAACAAATGTTCCTCCACTATCTCATCCTCCTCCTAATACTCCTTCACCACCTTCTAGTTCTCCTCCCCAATATGATGTTACCAAAAGGGGGAGAATACTCAAGGGTTTCCTAATAAACAAATGCAAATGGTGGTAATTACACCAACTCCATCTCAACCTGAGATGTCTGAAACTGGAAGGGCTATCCTTCAAAAAGAAATTGTTGTTACTAATTTTCTAGATGCTAAAACAACAACTCAGCCCATTCCAGACACTGGTGACCAATCAGAGACTAACAACTATGTAGGGTTTATTGATCTTGGTTTCATGCCACAAGTTGTTGTGCCTGCTGTTCCGTTGAATGTTGTCTTTCCTGATTCTTAGTTTCAAGGGGAGATTCCTCAAGCAACTAATAGTGTATAGATTCTGATAATGATCAGCTTAATCATCGAAAGAGGAAGGCTTCCTCTTCAAGGGGAGCTCATGATGCTAAAGGTAGAAGTTTTGTTATTGGTGATCCTTCAGCACCTGCTCCTTCAAAGAAAAGCATGAAAGGAAACTCATTATTGATATGGATAAGTTAGCTACAATATGGAGATTAATTTTTGATGAAGTAAGGTAGATCATGATAGAAAATAATGCTACTATTCGACAGAAGAAGGAAGCTAGAAAAGGAGAACGTCTGCCTACGAAACTTGTTCAAGCCCTTGCCTCCGCTAATGAAAGTACTACTGATCAAGTCAAGAAAATTAAACTCTTCAATAACAGTGTGAAGAAACAACACAAGGTTTCAGACCTGAATAAACGAATAGATAAGAAGTTTGGAGAAGTTCTGACTCACAGAAAAAACCAAGGAACGAGTGTCTAAAGCGTTATCTGGTCAGGAAGAAAAATGAATATGAATATAATGAAGTTGTATTTGTTCGTGAGCTAGTCAAATTTGGCTATAGTGAGTGGATGCAAATTCAAGAAATAATTGACAAACACAAGGGTATTCATGCACAGGAAGCTAAGTTGGCAATTCAGCAGATGCTCAACAAAGCTAAGAAGTCGTACCTTGTATCAACAGATAGTCCATCTAGATCCTCTTCTTTAGAAAGAAACGGTGCTTCACACAGTCTAAGAATACCAAGTTTATTATTCCTTTTGGCACTTGGTATATCAACAATGAATGGCCAGTAGGTGTTAAACCAGTCTAATACATGTTCATTCTAGAACCAGAGCATAGGATATTTTACCTTGACAGTCAAAATCACATGTGCTTTCAAACACTGATGATCTTCCTTCTGCTTCTACTGAACATTTGTTTCATCTTCGCTTTTAAGGACTTAGGTGTTGTTTGTTTTTTCAAAGAGAAATTGCTTGAAGTCTGCGGACCACCTCTTCAATCCTCTGTAGCAGAAGAGGTGGAACAAACAGCTGCAGCATGTAATAAAAAATATGTTTGTTTTTTAACGTCTGTAGACTGCTGCAGTAAGTTAAACTAATGCGTGAAGAGGTTTGAAGCAGTTGGTTTAGTGCTGCGCCACGCAGCACACGCGCAGCAGTTTTTAAGTCAGAAGTCTTCTGAAAAACAAATAGCTACGAATGGCCAAATGATGCACGTGTGCTGCACGGCGCAACAATAAGTGGTTTTTTTTAAAAAAACAAACAACACCTTAGTAACTTTGAACTGGAAAGAGGATATCATGTACTGATATCTCTAGAGCTTAGTATAAGACTATATGAACTTAAAATTAATCAATTTAGATGGATCAAGCCTGATATCTTAAAAGAAGCTGACAAGTTTTACAATGGTTCTACACGCTATCTGTCAACGTCAACGTCTATACCATCAGCGCCAGTGTATCAATGTCAACGCTTAGTATAGTTATTCTATGTAGTATTTTGTATATTATGAAATGATATATATATATATATATATATATATATAATAGATAGCAGATCTGATATACTTGTGATGATGATCGGTTTCTTAGTATAGATAAGACACAATCCTTCATTCAAGGGATATACTTGTATAGATTAGTGTGTATTGAACATTAGGTTGAAACCCTAATGTTAACATGGCTTAGTGTCATAATTGTATTTGAGACAAATCGTCTTCTTGGTAAAGAGAAAACCCTTATCTCCCTGTGTTCTTTAGTTTTTATTCTTTGTTTTTGTAGATTAGTTTACTTTTGTTCTTTATATTTGAAGGGTTGCTTATCGATACAAACCTTCAAGACATGTTGGTAAAGTCGTTCCCATATATAAAGAAGTTCAAACTTTGTTGGAACTTGGTTAATGCTCGCAGCTTTTAAGTCCCAACAGGAAAAAACAGTAGGAAGGCATAGGAAATTCTTGTTTTCTAGCGTAATTCAAAGAATACTTAAGTGGATGCAGAGATTGTTAAACGTTACTTAAGAATTAAAGACCTGTAATAACAGTTGGAGCATTTGACAATTTAATGAAGCATCTTAATATGATGACTCTCTTTGAAGTTCATGGCACTCTTGGATATGATGACACTCTTGGATGTGATGGAATTATTGACTATGATGACATTCCTCGAGTATAATGGTACTCTTTAAAATGTAGCATTTGACAAAAGGCTAGAGTAGTAGAAGAAGTGATATACACATGATGTGCCAAAAATTGACAAGCAGTCAATGGCACTTAATGCGCCATCATGGCACCAAATGTGTCAGCATGGCGTTTGATGCGCCATCATGTACATGGTTGGTGCAATGCAAGGTCTCTCATGGGTGAATGTTATAGAAGTAGCTGAATGATAGGTTGTGATTGGTTAACATCTTTTATGGGCCTACAGATTGATGGGCTTGCCTTATTATGATTTTAGGTTTGATACATAATCTATAAATAAAGATGTTTGCTAATTCATTCATGCGTCTTAATCTTTGTATCTTATAGCCTTAGTGAGTAGGGGAATATCTGATGGTTGTACTTGTAATATCTATTTGAGAACCTTATGAATATGGAAACTCTCATCATATCCGTTGACGTAAGTCACCTTGATTGAACCACATAAATATTATGTGTTTGTGTGCTTTTGGTTTCATGTGATATCCACATTACTTCCTAATAAAGATTATCACAACTTGATAAATGACATCAAATCTCTTATAATATTGACAAATATGACATGATTTTCTAACATTTGTTTGATGAATCATATATTGTTTTGTTTACGTTATATATGTTTGTTTTTGTTAAGAATTGCAAACACAAATGAAAATGGAACGAACAGTAAAAGAAGATGTACAAATCCAAATGAAAATAGAACGGAAAACATAAAAAAGCTGCAAGCACTAAAAGCAAAACATATAAAACCAATGAGTAAACCTCCCGACAACCGACTTTTTTTTAGGGTTATTGTTTTAGAAAGTTTTGAACTTATCTTTATTACATTTGTTACAACTTGTGTTGCATCGGATAATTTTAGATTTGTGTATATTAGATTTAAGGTTGAACTTGTAAATTTGGTTTTTCTTATTGCATCTGGATTATATTTCGTATTATTCTTTTTTTTTTTTTTTTTTTTTTTTAAATTGCATTTTACCTACGGAATAATTGCCATAAAAACCGTCAGTAAACACCTTTCACTAAAAGTATCTGTTGAAAAAATAAAACATTATTGACATCTGTCGGTAAAGCAGTATGCCATTAAAGAAGGCACATCACAAAATATCATGGAACTTTCTTATCGGATTTTTGTTACTAATTTGTGATGGATTAACTACGGAAGTGGCTGTCGGAATTGAGCGGTTTCTAGGGGTGTATATCACGTGGAATTTGGGTATTTGTCTACATATATTAAGTTTATGTCAAATTGTTTGGAAATAAAAATCTATAGTACAATGTATGCTATCAAAAGCACGTTATAGCGGTGATATAACGTTTTGCGGTGCTACTGAACTACTATTTTGAAATAGCGTTTACTTATAGTGGTAGTGCTATTACCGACGTTATTTACCGTACACCTCAACAGCGCTATAGCGACGCTATACTTCTTTTTACAATTTCGTACATATTAGGCTATTTTGACAAAAAAATTAATAATAAAAAAAACGATTTTATGTTATTTCAATATTAAATCTTTATATTTATAACTAGTCCATTACACTTTTTGTTTTTATAAGTACAAATAATAAATATAATTAATTAAATTATAAATCAACAAATAACAACTTTAGTTTTCCGTCTGTTTCAGTATTTAGAAACCATAAACAACTTGAGCTCCATAACATTTTGATACTTTTTATTTCTAAATTACTATATTAGAATATTATATATAAATTATATTATGTTTTTATATATTTTTAATATACAAATTTTTTATAAATACATAATATAAATTACACATAATATTAAAAAACCGATATAACACTGATATACCACCGTAATAACCATTCTAAATAGTAGCATGTAACAACTATTGAAATTTGGACCACCATAAGAGAGAGGGATCAAAGAAACCAAAATTGAGACTATATTTTTCCAAGAATAGTCCAACACTTATGAACATAAACGATTTTCGTATACATTAACTCTTACGTATAATTTTGTTGACAATAAATGGGACCATGAACATACATATTTTCTTCGAAAGCCCGAAACTAGTGACATGACATGACCACTTCTTTTACACACTTCACAAAAGAAATACACGGCTATATAAACCATCATATTATATCTTGACACGTACCTTACAATATGAACATAAAACCACGTCACCATACACATCAATGCCAATCAATCTTCCTCCACAATTTCTCCCTCTACCCCAGGAACCTCCGCAGCTTCTTCTCCTCCAGCAACATCCGCTGGTTCTGCTTTAGGAATGGTGAATACCTTCGCAATCTTCTCAGTGGGCACCAATGGCAGGAATGAAGAAACCTTGTACCCTTCATCTGCTGTTTGCTGCACAGTCTCGTTGTACTTGTCAGCAACCAAAGTGGCTGCAGGTGCAAAAGCGTTAACGACTTTAGTGAGAAGGGGGATTTGATTAAGAGTTTCCCAAGCTGAAGAAGCATATTCCTCAGCAGTTGGCTCGATTTTTACTAACAGTTCTTTGGCAGTTTCCACCAAACCATTATTCTTGACGTCAGAGACCACTTCAGTTGACAAGCTTTTGGCTGTAGTTGTTATGTCCTTCACAGCAGAAGGAAGTACCTCGTCAACCTGAAAGCACGTCACAAGAAGATCATTATCTATAGAATGAAAAAGAACATATTCTTTTGATCTTTTCCTTGTGTTTGGCATGTGAAAAAAACATAACATGTTGTACTGAATCTAAAGAAGATTAGGTTGATAGATTGTAGAGGAAAGAGGAAGAAAAGCTGACCTTACGATCAACAAACTTGAGGGCCTCAACATTGGCATCTTGGAACTTATCAATAGCAGGGCCAACAACACTCTTGACAGTAGTCTCTATCGTCTCGACGCCAGGTAGAGTACCAACTTTGTCCTTTACATAATCGTATACTTTTGATGCAATACCAACTGCTTCCTGCATAGCATCTTCGACAAAGTCCAGGTGCTTCAGCTTATCTTCTTCGCTCTGAACCTTTTGTATGAAAACAAGAAACCATAAGCAAATCAATTCTCTACTCATTATGTTATGTTTCTTGTTTAAGTTTCAGAAATCAGGCGTCGATTATACTACACAGGTAACGTATATCTAACTGGTATTAAACTATTTTCTGGAAAATGAGACGAATTATTACTTGGGTTTGAGAAATTTTACCTAGTCCTTGTAAAACTAATTTATTCGTCATAAAAGCTTTGCTGTTGGTTTTGATAGGATCAAAAGAACCCAAACAATCGGTAACAACATTTTGAAACTACTATCAACATAATTCAGCAAAACGATTTGGGTTTTGGCCATAGAGGCAGTAAATCGTAGTTATGTTCTATCAAATAAATCAAGCATACAAACAAAAAATTCTGTTTTCAAAAACATAAATACAATATAACTTCAAGCGAACCTCAGGTTTATCGGTAACAGAAGCAGCGAGGCCCATGATCAAGATGAATGTGGTTCAAAACGATTTGTAGTTGTCTATCAATAACTGATGTTTATCTTAAAAGTGTGTCAATATATGATATATCACTGATGGATCGATATTTATAAAGAGTGGGTTGCATAGTTACAGTTATAACCCTTGAACTTATATGTATTATAATTACTCTTTAATATAAACATTTCAATTTTATATATTTACTATATTTAAATATGATCTTATATATATATATATATATATATATATATATATATATATATATATATATATATATATATATATATATATATTCCGGTTTCGGTGAGGACTCTCTTTAGGTGAGGACGGCGAGGACTAGCTGTGGCCAATCAAGGTCATTAAGGGTATTTAGGTCCAAAAAAATATAAATGAGTTGCTATGTAACGCCTGCAGATTCGGACTAGTTAATTTGGAGATAATCATCAAAAATGACTTTTTAATAGAAGATTATTTAAAATAAATAATCTTAATCAAGTTATAGTATATGTCACAAGGGTTCCGTACATATAAAGAACGTCGAATTCCGAGTTATAACGAAGAAGCTATGACACGTCGAAGTTTTACGAAAAAACTGGTACGACACC